TCGCTACATATTACCGTGGTTATTAGTACATTCACAATTACTATGAAGATTGCAACCTTATATTCCGATTATTTTTCCAACCATCATTTTTGAAACGTTCAAGTTAAATAGCAATATTAATGACTCATTAAAAGCCAGCGATCGTTTCGAAACTATGGTATATTCTAACACTTTCTCACATAGGCACGCACACACGCAAGAAACCAAAAAGTTTAATTCATCAGAATGAAAAACAAGCCAATGAGAAAATCATTCATTTCCGTCCAATTAATCATTGAGAAAACATCAAATCTCTTGTTAAAACTCCGATGTTTTAACAGCCATCATGGCCTGATAAATTTCCAGTTGAAACAATATTCAACAAACATTCCTCTTGAATGCAGTTAAATTGTTGGCTTGAACGGAAATACCACTAATAAGCCTGTAAAAATAGCCAAATCCGAGCTTCAAATACGTCAAGCCGAACATTCGTTTTTTTCCTTAATAATATTAAAAATACATGAATAGCGAATGTCTTAACGTTACAATACAATACAATGTATCTCTCATTATTTTTCTCTTTTAAACACATCTACACACACACACAATTAAAGAAAAAATGCACACATTTTAACGATTTTCATCGATCACATACATTTATGTACAGAGCTCACTTCCCACATTTGCACACATTCGTACGCAAACAAACTAGCATACCTAAAAATAAAACATTTAAAAAAGAATTCAGTTCACTTCTTTGAATAAATTAATTAAATGTAACGGTAAACTGATTTTAAACACACACAAACATACGCGTAACACACGTGTATTAAGAGTGAACGAGTTTTTTTTTTAGAATTGTTTAAAATTCAAAAATCTGAAACATTGTCTGAAAGAAACGTACAAAAAGATATTGTCATCATGGTTCAAATCACCTCCCACATTATTTACATAATTATCATCATCAGCATCATCATCATCAAAATGACAACTAGGATGATAACAGTTGTTGCATCTCTCGGAAAAGTTCATCATCGTTGACGTCGACAGCTGGAGCATTCGAGTAGGAAGGCATGGATAAGTCGAGGAACATGGATAAGTCATCCGGGAACATGTTCTCTTCTGATTGGCTGCTGCTGCTTGCCCTGTTTGAATTTGAATCGACCAATGAATGAGGGGTTTATGTTACTTATTTATAAACATAAAAACATTATTTAAGAGCAAATGTACAATAGGGAAGCTCTAATGAAAACTAACGTAACACTAATTGAAGATGACGACGATGCAATGACTGCTGTCGATGCAGTTGAAGAAGCTGTGGCTGTTGCCTCTCTCTGATTGCTGGTCCACTCCATCCCAGCGTGACATCGACCTTCTTGTCTATTTGCAGTAAGGTCGACATCCATAATTGAAATATTTTTATCACAGATGTTGTTATTTCCATTATCATTGTTGTAGTTGTTGCAGTCGCTGCTGCTGCTGCCAAGGTTGTAGTCATTGTTATTGGAAATGTTGAGCTGCTCATTTGAATTGTTATTATCGTTATTACTATTGTTATCATCACTCAAAGAACTTTCAATTGATAACTTTCTTCTCTTCAATAAGCTGTATGTAGACAAGGGATTGTTCTTGTTGTTGCTGGACTTAGAATCCCTGGAAACACCAGAAGAGTTATTTTCAGAAGACTTTGGTGATTTTTGCAGTTTTTGTTGTTGGGAAATTTTTAATGATTCATCAGTTTCATTTTTAGAAGTGGCAGTATTCAGTGGAAAATCCAGAGTTGAATATTTAATATTGATATCTTCGTTGTATCTGCCATCACTAGCATCATTGCTGTTGCTGTCCTCGTCATTACTGAAATCATTTTTCGATGATATTTGATGTTGTGGTTGAGCAAATCTGCTGTTCTTGCTGATGTTCTGTGTTTTGTGTTCATTGCTTTTGGTTGCTTGTTCACTTTTCAACCTTTTTTCCAACATAATTTCTTCAAAACTTTTGACAACAACATCTCCATTCATTTTTCTGCTATTGTTGATAGAGTGAAACTCGTCTTTATTATCATCATCATTACTTTTGTTGTTATTTGCTGTTGACGTTTCAAAATTTGATCGGCTTCCAATCCTTTTTAGTCGAAATGATGAAGTCGATGACGCTGCCTTTGATGTTGTTGCTGAAGTCGACGTCATGTTGCAAGTTGCCATTGTTGTTCTACCATCCACATCCTCATCAGTGCTGCTGATGTTGTTTCGTTTTTGTTGCTGGAGAGGCTTTTTCAACAATCCAGTGATTTCTTTGTTGTTGCTGATGATGCTATTATTTCTATTTGCAGTTGTTCCTGGTGGCGCTCCTGTTGTCAGCTGCCTCTTCCTGTCCACATCTTGAAGAGAAATAAATGAAATGATGCTGATACAAATACAGATACACATTTGTAATGCTAAGTGCCACAATAAAGGTACACAAAAACATACACACATCAAACAAACATACACACATCAAACAAACATACACACAAACACTTAATTAAGAAAACTCACCTAATTTTATTCTAGCATCGTTACTAGCTACTACACCATCCCTTCTACTACTGCTAGTTATAGCAGCACAATTAGCAACTGCAGTAGTCGGTCTAGCGGCTGATTCAGCAGCAGCTGACTTGACAGCTACAGGTGGCCTATATATCTGGACAGTTGACTTCACCTTCTTTCTCAAGGTCTGGTCATCAATTTTTTTACAGTTACCATTGCCATCATTACTATTACTACTACCTCTTCTTGATTTAGTACTGGCAGTAATAGCATTGTTGATAATTCTCTTACTGATACTACTACTACTGACGTTGTTGTCTTTAACGTTGTTACTTCTCTTGCTCTTACTGATGAATATGACCTTCTGCTTCAGTTTCTCAACTTCATCCTCATCCTCTCCGTCACTCCGACCATCGTTAACAGAAACCATAACATCACCATCTCCATGATGACGATGATGCTGGTCGGGTCGTCGATCTTGATTGCCAGTTATCACTTCTACATCACCGGCACTGCTGAAATCATCACTATTTTTAGATGAGCCTAATCTATTTTTAATGGAAAGCAATGTTGAAGATGATGTAACTGACGTCACCGAGGATGTAGATGATGACGTCACCGACGATGAAGAAACTGCAATTTCTACATTGCCGTCCCCATCATCAGTAAATTTCATCTTTTTATTGTTGCCATCATCATTGTATTTAACAAAAGTAGCATCATCAACTTCTCTTTTTCCCAACCTATCTTTCACTTTCATCTTCAATATCTCTTTACTGGCATTATCAACATCATCACTTCCGGCATCAGCTCCCACTTGAACTGTGACCTTTCGACCTTTGGGAATCCCCATGACACGATTAACTTTGCACTCATTGGTTATCTGTACTTTTCTAGTACAGAATGCAGGTATAGCTCTTGTGAAATTTTCCTGTTGGTTCCTATTTGGTTGTTGATCATGGGGATGATTAATATTTAGGCCCGTATTAAAGATGGTTAGGCCATCAGTAATGTCGTTCTTTCCGGGTGATATAGGCTTCACGGTAGCTACTGCTCTGCTATCTGTATTTAATTTGATTATAAAAAATGCTGTCAATGATGATGCAATTGTTTTTATCCTTTAAAACATCATCCTCAGACTCTATCAGACCCAGAAGCAATTGCAACATGCAAAACGACGGTTAAAAGATATAAGAAGATAGAGGGAGCAAGTTGAATAATGTAGGGTAGTGAAAATGTAGTACATGCAAACAGTAAACTGTTAAGTTTTTGTAGGAGTGACAGCATCAGAAGTGAAATGATATTAATAATGACTAGAAAAGACAATGTTGGGTACTTGACAACATTAGATAGTCAGTGATAATATGATGAAAAAAGTAAATGAATGAATGAAGTGATTGATTGAACGAAGGTACGCACAAATACTGACCACTTTTAATTACAATTCTTCTCGGTTGATGTCCTAATGACAGAGGTGCACCACTCTTAACGGCCTTCCCATTGCCACTTTTACGCTTCGTGTTGTCGTCGTCGTCGTCATCATCATTCTCCCTGCTGCGGACATTATCACTGATGATGCTGTCCAGTTCATTCAGTTTTTCATTTCTTAATTCTGATTAGAAAAAAACGAGTAAAAAATTTATGTAATTTATCTCCATAACCATCATTTTCGTCGTCCCAGGCAGTTATCCTCACCCCAAAACTTCACACACAATCATCATTTCTAAAGACATTAAACCATCATCTTCACCACCAGCCTTAACGAAACAACAATATCAGCGATATCAATAAACATCATCATCATTACCAACACCACCACCATCATCATCTTCACTTACTCTCCATCTGCCTCCTTCTCATAGATTCAAGGGCTCTTTCTCTGTGCATCTGCTCGAGAGAGGTATCATCATCAGCATCATTATTATTATCATTATCATCATCATTATCCTCTGGTTGGTTATCAGTTTTATCATCGTCATTAGCATTCGTATTAGCAGAGGCGCTAACATTATCATCATCATTGTAACCATCCTCATCATTGTTGTCATCATTTTGAATTTTAGTCTGTACATTGCTGTCTTTAACATTGGATGTTATGTTCTCATTGTCATCTGCATCATGCATCTCATCTTCATCATTACTTTTTTCATTGACAACAGATGATGATGAAGAGGATGATGGCAACAATGACAAAACATTAAAATTAGAAACAGCAGTACTACTAATACAGGCAACAGTATTTGTTGAGACACACCCATTATTAATACTATCATCAGTATTAGCATACGCAGTATTCAGCATCTTAGTTGTTGTTGTAGTTATATTTGTTGCATCTACAGTAACCAATGATGATGATGGTGGTGGAGACAATGATGATGAGGATTTTTTCATTGATTTAGCCGGTGATGATGGTGATATCCTTGGTAAGAATGATGATGATGATTTGATATCATTATGGGAGGTGCTATTTACTTGTTGTAGATGTGGTTCATCTTGTGGAAGCTGCTGCTGGTAAGGCTTCTTCAGGTAAGCTACTTTACACTGTTGTGTAGTAGCATTAGCATCTTCATAATAAGTAGTATCGATACTACTGGCTGTAGTAGTAATGTTGTCGTTGTTGTTGCTGGTGGCGCAATTAGATTTAGATTGAGCCGGTAAATGCAGGAAAGGGCAGTGCTGTTTCTGACAACCACTGGGCTGACTCTGCCAGTAACACGGAATCTGCGATCGATCTTTCTGTTTTTTTGGAGAATGAAGAAATAACAATAACTGTCATAAATCATTATATGCAGCAACAAGCATAACACCATTTTTAAATAAATACAACAACAATAACTGAAAAGAGTGAAAAATAATTGAGAAAACTGAACCTGAATAATCATATGCCTGAAGGTACATCCCTGGTGAAAACACTTTCCCTCCTTCCACAGTCTGCAGGTGACCTCGCTGCCACGGGCTGCCTCCTCGTGTCTGAACTTGCACTCAGCTCCCTGGGTGCGAATTTAAAGTGAGAAAAATTGATGATTAACATATTTGTGATTTAAGAAATTTAGATGCTCAAGGTAAATAATGAGTGGATGTTTGTGCATTTTCTCAAATAATGATGCAAAAAGTAACATACTTTTGAACAGTTGGAATAATAGTAGAAGTAGCAGTCATCTGGCTGTTTCATCATTTTTCTTCTTTTTATTTCTGTATGTCTATCCACTAATTTGAGAATTGTTAATTCTTCTTCTTTCTACTTTTATTCTTCTTTGCCCAATTCAAAATAATTCTTTAATAAAAGAAATCAGAAAAAATCCTTCCATTAGTCAAGTGAAGAGTATTCAAATACATAACCACCATTCGATAAAAATTGAACTTTAATCTGGGGTCCAAAGAACAAGAAAACTACATAGATATATAGATATATCATCTGGAGAATTAGCTAGGTATCTATCTATTCAGTGAAGAGATTATTAACTGTAGAATATCTCCAGCAGGGTATCTTGACATGTAGAAGGGCATAAGTAGATATGCATTTGCATATTCTTAACTCGATGTGAGAAAATTTGACCAGGTGATTAATGATAAATTGTAGCATTTGAATTAGGAATGTAAAACTGGCCAACAATATTCAGACATGAATTGTTGAATGCTGTTACTAAATTATGATCTGTTGAGCTTGCTATTTTGTTGGTTGAATAATAATGATGCTACTGCTATAGCAGATGTATATTGATGTTGTTTTTGCATGGTGGTTATGTTGTTGTGATACATTTTAGCCCATCCCAAATGACCGAGAGTTGAAACAGTTGACATGGTGGTTAAAAATGAAGCAGTGGTGTTGACATACACATGCCAAGTCGAATGATTGCAAACGTGAGTAAACATGAAATAGACATCTGGGCCTAGTCTAGTTCCTAACAACATGTCTAATTATGTGTTTGTAGCTTGCATGCATGAACCAGCCTGTAAAAATTATTTTGAAAGGATTATTTTGAATTTCAATTAAATAATTTTAAAAATAAAAATAATGAAAATTCACTGACTTGAAGCCCTGATAGATCCAACGGGTTGGTTACACTGGAGAAAACCCAAAACAGACCAAGGACAAAGACAATCTCTTAATGGACCCCACATTTTACTTTCCCGTAGCCCAAGCACCCAATACCAACCCATGCCCATCCATTCATTTAAATAAAAAAACAACTAAGGATCAAATACTAATCTAAGTTTACCCCCTAAACCAACTATTATTTAATCTCAAATAAATTGAATAAACCACCGCAAACCGAAAAATGGACCACTGATTGTGAAAAAGAACAATTCAGGTAACATAATCTGAGATTACTAATCTCTTCAATCAAGCCAAGTGCAACCAATGATAATGTAAAACTAATAATGGCGGCCCCCATAATTAAGATTTTAAAATTACTCACTAAACAAGTTTCACTAAATTTTCGCGTAAAATAAATTAAGTAAACGATGCGTAGCATCTATTTAAGTAAAATTCTTAATGGTACTCACCTAGCCAATATTTCCAAAATGGCTACATGGATAAACAAATTAAAGGTTAACTAGCTTTTTATTAATGGAATCCAATCAGATACGTAATTTAGAACTACTACCGACTACCCTAATTTTACCAACTAAAAATTTGTGAAAACAAAATAGATCAAAACTCAACAAAACTTACACTTTTTAAAAAAATTACGCCAAAATATCCTTCACCCACAATCGCAAAATGGCTTATAGAGAAACAATGACACATAAAAGATCCTAAAGTGTACAAGGGTAACTTTTTAGGGTAATTTTGTTTTGCCTGTTAAATTTTATAAAGTATTTGAAATTGCTTTGTTGCAATTTTATTATTAATTATGTTTTTGTAACATGCAAAAAATATTAGTTTAAATTTTTCCAAACTAATTTTTTCAATATATTTATAATAATTAATTTATAAAATATTTAATTCTAATCCTTTTTACTCACATAAGCTTGCAGTTAAAAGTAAACTTTAGTATAATCCATTAATTCGATTGTCCATAATTCAGTTTCTAAAACATCGTTTTCGCTTCCTATTTTGTTAAATTAGTTCATTAGAATTAGTTTTTATAATTTAATTTATCATTGCGTCTCAAATACAATTATTTTTTAAATGATTTTTATTAAAATTAAAGTTCCTGAAGTCAAAGGCACAATTCACAAACAAAAGTTATATAATTTTATTTTATTTTTAATAAAATATGATTCAATTTAAATTTAAAGTTTTTAATTTTATTTTTAAAATAAATTTTTGTTATTCAGTAGCTTGACCATGAGACAAACACATGTATGTTAAATAAATCTGTAAAATTTCTTTCTGACTGTCCAGTTTGTTACTCAAAAGGATTTTGTTGGAGAGAAAAAGATTTTTCTTTCTGAGCTTCTTCAACTTTGTTTTTTTTTCAGTTTACTGTAACTATCTAAGTATGACAAATCCGGTGGAACTAATGAGAAATGATGTCATAACTTATGATGACCCTTACTCTGACACCCCACTCTTTTACAATGAAGCTCAGAGTGCCAAAATAGAACCAGGATTAGTGTTATTAGCAGTGGCCCCAGATGTAGAAAAAGACAGTGATGAAGAGAAAAAGGATAAAATGAAGAAAGGTGAAAATGATTTCAAAAATTTTGAGAATGGACAAATAGATGAAGATAGCTTGGTAGTTAATAATGTTACTGCTGCTATTGATGATAAAATGAAACATGATGATGAAAATAGTTCAAACTGCAAGCAACCAAGTGATGAAAGTGTCATCATTGAAACATCAAATGATATAGGTAATGACGATATAATTATTTCTGGTGCTACTGAACAAAATGACATTATAAATGATGTTGCTACTGCTACAGTTGCTGCTAGCAATTCCACCACTTTACCTGCTAGTGATGATTGTAATATCGACAACATCAACAACAGTTCATCATCACTAACTAACAACACTAACACAAAAGATCTTAACAAATCATCAGATGTCAACGCTGATCTTAAATCAAATAACACTGATGACACTAATGATACAAACAAGTTAAAATCACTCAGCAAAACAAACAGCTTACCTCCAGACTTGACTATTCAAACACTGCCATCAGAATCAGATCCATCTAATAGCCACAGCTTACCTAAAAATGTTGAACACGTTAAAAATGATGAAGAGTACTCAAATGAGGACCCTAACTTTGCCATTTACGATGCTCCCTGGGACCTAGGCGCTCTTCAAAAAGGCCTTGAAGAAAAATTAATTAGAAATGCTTCGTCATCTCTCGGGTCCAATTCGTCATCAGGAGCTGGGGGGTGCCTTTATAAAAATTTACCAAATGAGCCGGATGCATGTGAGTTTGATAACAGAGAGATGAGTTATGAGAATCTGCCCACATCTGACTTGACACCACAGCAGCAGAAAAGAATTCAACAACATCAACAGCAGCAGCAAAAGTTGCAGCAGCAGCAGTCACGGCCGCAGCATAAAAGTTCATCTCCTGGTTACAACAACATCAATAACAGCAACATCGCTGGCAGCAGATACAGTAGCAGCAAGATCAGCTCGCCGTCAAACACTCCACCATTACAGAGGAACCAACAGCAACAACAACAATCTTACACTACCAGCACAAACAACAACACCAAAACTTCACCACAACAACGTTTGCAACAACAACTGTCATTCCAGCAACAACAACATTTTTCATCCAACATACAACCACCCCAGCGCCTAATTCCTAACAACGTAGCTTCTGACTCATCTACCAAACATCCACTTCATCGCCGGGGAGTGCCAGTGATGGGTGGCGGGTCGATCGGCAGAGGGGTCCAGCAAAACAAAATGGCGGCCGCGACTTCCGTTCCGACGCCCGCCCTCATTTCCGATTGGAGGCCATTGGAGGATTATGATTCGCCGTGGGATGAGAAACAGAAGGACTTATTTGGCACATTTAGCAGAGGTTGATATTATTATTATCATTATTAATGACAATGGTGATGATGACGATAGTCATGATTATGATGCGTTTATGTTAATGATTATTTTTATGACGTCATTATCATATTTGAAAGATTCAGGCAGTTTGAAGAGTTCCCCAGAGCATGTAGTCTCTCCACCCCCTCCACACATCCTACAACTACTACCATCATCATCATCGACGTTGTCGTCTTCGTCGTTATCGGCGTCATCATCACGTCATCACTTTCATCATCAGCAGCAGCAGCTGCAACAGCCGCCACCACTTCACGCCAGGCATTCAGAATTGGCTGAAAAGATTGAGTCAAAACTACCATTGGAGAGTGAATGGTTTGTGTTTGATTGAAGCCTGCATTTATGATGGTTTGGTTTACTGATTGGTTGAAATTTGTAATTGTAATTGCATCGTCAATGTAATCTATTTAAATAAACTCCTGTTGTGAAGACCAATGATGGCTATAAATAAATTCAAGATAGCTGATTAATTAGCATTCATACATTCGTTTCAATGGATCTTAATTTGAATTTTCAATGATAGGCATTACTAATGCAGTTCGTACATACCGTTCCCTCTCTTTCTCTATATCTCTATCAATGTATCTCTCCTCTATCTCTTCTCTCTCTGCTTATTATTGATAACAACAGCATACGCATTTGTATAAATAAATACAAAGTTCTTTTACGTAATCTTCATAAAAAATACCATGTATAAATAAATAGATGTCTTGTAGACAAGTTCATATGCACACGCTCCCTCTCTCTCTCTCTCTCTCTCTCATCTACGCATACACAGACACACACGCGCGCGCGCACACACACACACCTTAGCGCCACCATCCTTTGGCAACTAATTATATTTATATTTTTACAAGATAAGTTAAAGATATTAGCTTGGGTAATAGTATGCATATTAATTAATTGCCCATGATTAGTAATTAGTGATGATGATGATGATGATGATTGTTAAAATGTTCTTAGATTGTGATAATTGCTCATTGAATGAAGGCCTAAACTTTGTTTCATATTAATAATATAAATAACTTATTGAAAAGTAACAAAAAATTCATACATGCATAATTTAATTTTGAATAAATTATGTTAATTAGGTGGTACCACGGACCAATCACGAGACAGGAAGCAGAGTCCAGGCTGAGAAATGAAAGGGAAGGCAGCTACCTAATTAGGAACAGTGAGAGCAATAGACTGGACTATAGCCTGTCAATCAAGTAAAAAATTGTCGATTGCTAATTGTTGTGGGAACAATTCTGATGCAAATTTTTTAAGATATCAAATGAATTCATACTGCTGAAATTTTTTTAGTCAATTAATCAATTTCTTTATATATTTTTTTTATTCAATAATTATTGGCGTTATACATTTATTCTCAATTATCATCCTAACCATTTTTTTCGTAATAGGAGCTCCAATGGGTGTGTCCACCTAAAAATAGTAACCAATCATGAAGGCCGATTCATTCTCGGCCAATGCAGTCAGCCATTTGCAAGTGTTCCCAAGATGATACAGTACTACACGTTGAACAAACTTCCAATCAAAGGAGCCGAACATATGTCCTTGACATTTCCTGTTGGATATTGATTGCTATTGGTCTTCTATCTTTAAATGTTGATTCGTATTTTTTTTAACTACTTTAAGGATAATTGACTTGGATGGTTGTTTATTTTTGGATACTGATAGGAATATTGATCTGATTGGTTTTTTATTTGTAGAATCTACATGGAATGTCGATTTTGATCGGTTGTCAATTTTTAGATTTTGATTGGTTACCTATTTTTAGATACTTCCTAACTGACTAATTGCCTGTTAGTGGCTTGGGGTTTTACAATGGATGCTTTTATTATGCTCTAGTTTTGTTGTTTCCTGTAAATAATAATATAAATATATTTTTAATTTCATCATTTGTAATTCATTTTTTACATAGAAAAAACTTTTTATGACTTAATTTATACGAAATTATCATTTTATAAATAATAATAATTATTAAAATATTAATTACATTGTTTACGTATACATACGTTTGTATGTGTGCGTGCACAAATACATACGTGTATATTTACGTCACCTATTAATACACATTTCTTCAGACCTTCCTTGTATAATTGTCGTGCTAGTCTCGTAATTTTCACTTAATGTAATGTAAATTTCCACAGTCAATTAAACAAACTCGCCTCTAATTCCATCTGCTCTGACTAATTTCAAGATAGTCAGATGAGAGAGAAAGAGGAGAGAGAGAGAGAGAGAGAGAGAGATTACAAACAGAAAATTATTTGTGAACATTGTCATAATATTCATGTGTAATAGAGGATCTTAGTACAGACGCTTCAATGCAATGAAATGAAGCATTGATATATCTTCAAGATTTCGTTATTTTCATCTATGTTTACAAGTATTAACTGATATTATCATACAAATATTTATAACGATTATTAATATTAACACAAAACTTCATTCAAGCATTCACTCTTTTTCTGTCTGTCTATTTCTTCTACCTGTAGTTGCTGTGTTTCGGCCATAGTCAATAAACATACACACACACACACATATATATATATATATATATATTGAATTCGGAAAATAAGTTTATTTTGAACTTTAATAAACTAAACGTTCTCCAAAAAACTTTAGCGAGAAAAATCGAAAAAACGAACTACAAACATATTAACGCCAAACATTCGGAAGAATTTATAGAATATTGTAAATATATATATATATATTATATACATACATATATTACAATATGTCTGCCTTTACAAAAAAACTCTACATATATATTTACATATACATAATATACATATATGTCTTGTTTATGAGTACGACCATGAATTAAACAAAATGAAGATAACGTTTCATGTAATCATGATATATATATATATATATCATGATATATATACGTATATATATATATGTATGTATATTTAATATGTATATATAATGTTTTTGTGTACGTTTTTATGGTTAGGCTTAATTTTCACAATTTATTGTTAATATTATAAATTAGATAGATGAATGAAGGATTGGTTAAATGAGTGGGTGGATGAATGAATGAATGAAATGAACAATTAAATTCATGAAAAAAATGAAGAAACGAACGCAACAAATTTGTAAGAATGAAAAAAGTTTAGTTTTTTAATAAACTACACTCCATTTCATCCATCTTTCGCTACCTCCACATAAATATATAAACAGATACGAATTCATTTAAAAATTATCATCATTCTCATTATTTTTTTCATTTATTTTATCTTTTTTATTTTTCGTTTTATCTTTTTAAAATTAAAAAAGTCTATTGAATTCAGAAATGAAAAAACGAATAAATGAATTGTTGAAAAGAAATGTCTATATATTTTATTTGTATGTTTCATTTTTATACATAAATATGTGTTTTTATTATCCATCAATCTATCTATCTATCCATCCATCCATATATATAGATATATCTATGTTATAGAATAATTAACTGCCGAACGATTTAGACAACGCTACACTACACTACACGACACGACATATCAATTAAAAAAAAAGATGAAATTTGATTGTATTCGTTTTTACGTTATGAGATATCGCACAAGATTACCGCCCCTGACTTCCCTAATTCGACCGCAGTGTCGTAAGATCGTGAGAATTGAGAACAGTGATTTGTCGATTTTTATCTGGCCAAATTGCTTGATGTCGTTTTCGGTTATAAAGTTGAAACCTGGAAATTTTTTATAGAATTTAAAAAAAAAATTGAAATGAAATTAATATGATTAAATATTACGTCAATAAAAAAATAAATAAATAAAAATAATAATAATTGTTAATATTATTAAAAATATTAGTAATAATTACTTCCAGTGTGTAAAATGCATGGGCATTCATACAAAATTTAATTAAGTTCATAAACAAATCAAAAATGAAACAACGTAGAATAATGGCACACACATCTCTATACCCCAAGAACCATTATACATCTCTAACAAAACCCCAAATCAATTACCCCCAGGTCAACAACAAAAACTACAAGGCCAACGAGAAACCTTTGGTTTCACCATTTTCTTCGTTTTTATATTCCCTAATCGCATTCCTAATTTTGTCAGTCTGTTTGGATTTGTGAGTTATCAGGATGTCATACTTGCAGCCGCAGACTTGATTTAAGGTATCTATAGTGTTGTTTATCTTCTCTACGGAGAGTCTTCCTATCATGTATCTACAATTTGTTCGAGAGTGAAAATTGAAAATTCTATAATTATTATACAGTATCAATATTTTTCATTGGTTCATTCAATTTTAATATATATCTATATAAATTATTAAACTAAAATTTTCAACCAGCCTAGATAACTTAGCAAATTCATCATTTGTGAGGTGCTTAATTTCGCTGACAAACAACTTAGTGGGTGATATTTTGAGGTCGGACTTTTTAGGAAGTTTAGTGAATTTGGACCCATTCTCATCCTCGTCATCCTCCTGCGTATTCAGGTAGTCATCATAATCGTAATTCACGAAACGCCTGCAAACAAATCAAGAAGAAAAATGATTGAGTTATGTAAAATTTTGTAAGAAATAGGTACATGTAAACCAGTAACTATCATACATCAGTCTCAGTCTCTCTCTACCTCTCAACTAAAATGCATGCAATCAAAGACAATGCGTATATGCAAAACCTTTAAAGTCATTTCTAATAAACTTTGTTAAACATTTAGTTACATATATACATCCTTATATACATGTATAAACACACACTCACACAGACACACGCAAACAAGCTAACAAACACACATGCATACTTTTTAATCTGTGTAGGAGTAGTTCCATTTGGCAATGATGAAGATGTTGTTAATGCAGATGATGATGCTGTAGACTCATTATTATTATTATTATTATTATTATTGTGATTATATAGCTCCTTTATCTTTGATGTCATTTCCATGAGATCCTAATGTTAAAAAATGTTAAAAAATAAAAATTAAATAAATAAATAACAAAAATCACAACCTCTTGTTTTTTGATTAATTTCACTTTTCTCTCGATCTCCATTTCCATCTTTTGCAAAGTCACCTCCAAACACTCTAAATCTTGAAGAATGCCACCAGCGAGACACTGCAAATAGGCATCATTTCTTATTATCCTATGCACAGTGATGGCTTTTATTTTACTTTCAAATTCATCTTTTATCTCTTCTATGGAGTTCATTTTGCTTTTTCTTAACTTTTTCACTAATTCTGTGTTGTGTTTTCATAATTAAAACATATTAATTACAATGCAAAACATATAGACATAACCAGGACAAAGCCTGATCGATGCATATTTGTTTGTTTGTATGTAGGTATGTTTGTGTACGTTCTATGTACGATTAACATACTACCATACCCAACTATATCACATAGATAACATAAACATAAACTTACTTGCCTTGGATAGCTAAAAAAGACATGTACATATATATATATACTATTGCTATATGCCATGATATACATACATATATAACAAATAAATATACTGGACATACTGTACCGTTGTTGGCTTGTAGGTAGTTGGTTGTGGTTAGTTTGGCTTCTTAAAAAATCAGTGACAAATAATTTTGAAATTAAAACATCGAACGAGTAAAATCACAAAAATACATATTTTTTATTTAAAAAAATAGCAAGAAGTCGTTTTAAAAATATTATTTTTTCAGCAAATCCTTGGCGAAATTAAGCATTATTTAATAATTGTTTATATTTGGCGCTATGTCGTTATCGCTCAGTAATATTGCATAGAGTAGAAAGTTTTTAAAAATGAAAATAATTTCTCGCTCATTCATGTTATACTAATGGTTTTACAATATTATATCAAAGTTTCGTATAAAATAACAAATTTAATGTAAAAATGTTATTAAAAGTGTTATCATCTATGTGTTTTTCTTTATTTCTTATACCAGGTTAGCTATTTTACTTTAATAAAATTATTTTATAGCTATTTTAATTCTGTTGACTGATTTTTTTTAAGAATTGACATTATATAATATTATTAATATCAAATAATCATAAATATAATAACACTAATATTAGGTAAAAATGTTCATAAAATGCATTTACATTCGCGAAAGTATAAAAATCAGGTAATTAACTGCAAAAAATTGCTTAATTTAATGTGGAAATAAAACCATTGAGAACAAATTATAGCCATAGTTAACACAAAGGAGAGTCTGCAGTGCGAGTACGAGATATTAAGATGGACTTAAATGGTAATTGATTTTTATGACGTTGCAATTGTTAGGAATGGAACGGTTCCACATTCAATTCAATTCATTTCTTTCTTTCATTCTATACATTCTTTCGTTCTTTTGTTCGTCCGTTCGTTCGTTCAGTTCATTAAGTCACTCTATCTTTCACTCAGATCTCTCTTTTACACATTCGGCTCATTCATTCGTTTCTTATTTTTAAATTCGTCTTTCATTCATTCCTTTCATTCATACTTTAATTCAAAAGAGTTGTAATTCCGTGTTGTTGTATGGGAATCATTTGATGAGATGCGTGGATTTTCAACAGGTTTTTAGGAAAAAAATTAAGTTGCATGGGTTACACGGAACATTTTTAATTAATCATCAAAATTAATTAACATTTATCGTTAAACTGTTAAAATTATACAAAAAAACAACAAAATTATCATAAAACTGCTAACTTTGCAGATGTCACAAATGTACTGAACCATAAAACCATCCACAATTTTTACCCTAAACTGGGCAGTCAAATATCCTTGACCTGTAACCTAACCACAAATTCTTCAATTGACCTATTTAAATTCCCCATCATCTGGCTCAAGTTACAAGCAGACGAGGTTTCAAAGGTCAGTGTGATGAACGTCGTGATTGAGCCGTTTACATCTGAGAAGAGACTGGAAACCAAGATTGAATTAGTGAAGAAAACGCTTGATTTCATCTCCTTCTCTACCCACCTAACTATACTAAGTAACAATTATTCATTTTTTCGCATGTACAAACTTTTAAAACAGGGTGCGCAAACTTTTTGCTTTGAGGGCCGCACTGAGAACAATTTAACTTAGAAAGGTTAGGGTTATGTACATGAATAGCAAATTTTTTTCGACCTGGGGGAAAATTTTGTAAGATTTGTGGTTCTTTTTTTGTTCATAATGTTTTGGCGAACAAGGCCTCGTGGCATAAACGCGGCCCGTAGTTTGCCTACCCCTGCTTTGAAATATTATTAAATTTTTCATGAAACTATTGCATACGAACTTCTTTTAATAGATTTCAATAGCAAAATTAGCCAGTGAGCCTTTTGCATAGATAATTTTTTAATCCTTAGATGTGTCAATACTGGACAATGGTTTGTATCAATGTGATATTGAGAATCATACTTTATGCGGTGACGGTCAAATAATGTCCAACGTTGAAGTCATTGGTTACTAGTAACTTATTTAAAACTACGTTTTCTAAAAAAATTCATTACATTTTCTTCTTGTTTGATCAGTAAGTCCCCAAAAAGTCGAACTAATGCACGGAAACATGAACATTGCTAAAGACATTATAACCTACGAAAAACGACAGAATATTGATAAAATTATCGAATTAACTTCGGGTACGTTAAATCATTTAACTTGCATTTGCGTAGGCGGTTCACCAATCCATGAAATACAAATACTTCTAAGCGATCTCGATATAACTGGTCAGTTTTCACTGACGGAAAAATTGATAGTGGACGGTAATAAAGGGCTCAGGGAAAGAATCGTAATTCAGGAAATGCATACGAAATCTTTTGTCGTTGGACCCCACCATCACGGTTTGGTTATTAGTTGCAGTGTTCGGCGGCCTCACATAATTAGACCTTTTGAAAGTGAAGAGACATTTACAATGTCGGATTCCATAACATTGAAAGTTAATTGTAAATATTTTTGAATTGTTGAATACTAATTTGAAAAATTGATGAACAAATTTGAATAATCAAATATTAAATTATTTGCGTTCACGTTATGTAGATCCTCCCATTTTGAATTGTAACCAGTCACTGATGGTTTATAATATTCCATCAAATCAACTGACCAATGAGAACGAAGTAGGCGTGGCTTGTGTGATGTGTACCATTTATTCACAGCCCTTGGCTTCTGTGGTTTATTGGGTCGTGAAATATGATAGGTTGACCATCAGAGATATTAAAATTCCATTACATTTCAATATTTTGATGATTCAAACTCTAAATTCTTCAATCAAAGTGATTCACTTATTAATTAAATCTTGATTTTATTTGTCATTTTTCACATTTTCCATAATATTTCATCAAAATCTTTCATTTTTTAGGACGTTACAAATTATTTCGAAACAAATTCCTGCTATAGATTGATCGGAGTGCGTGAAAATATCGTTTCAGCAGAAATTGATCATTACATGACACCTGAAATCATTCTAGTTGCTGCTAACTTGCACGGAAACAATGAGTTCTATATAAAATTAATTAGTAAAAATTTTGTTTTTTAGCTTTTAAAATGAGTAATTTTTCATATAATTAAAAATATATCAATAAATTTTGATTTTTAAATAAAGATTAATCATTAAATTTTCATTATTAATTAATGATTCATCATTAAATTGCTATTTAGATATAGAAACGTTGGCAGTTTTGAAAAGAAACATCAGTGAGCATGATGCTATCACAAGAAATTTTGCATCAAAAAACTTTACATATCATACTATTGTCGTTGTCATTGGATGGATCATTATTTTCATTTTTTAACATTGAAATATAACATTATAATTCATCTTCAAACATTGCAGCAGATTTGCTCATCATCAAGCCAATTTTTATCTTTAAAAATTTAAATAAAAAATTGTTGTTTCAACGGCTCTGGTTTCTTTGTCTAAACTTATGTTTTTTACTCAAATTTTGCGAAACAATACTGTTTATTAAGTGACTGCTACAGTTTGAGCCGAAGTTTATTAAAATGACGTAGATATTTTGCTAAACTTAACTTTAAATCTTAACAATACGACACACACAAACTCGAACATGTCACAGCCGATATATCTCCAAGTTCTTCTGTCCATCTAATTTGTACTTGATTTGTGTAACTGTAATTCTGCTTCTAACTACCCTAACCCTTTCTATTGGGGTATCTCAGGGTTCTATCCTTGGCCCTCTTGTATTTATATTCTGTAATTCTGAATTACCTCGCCGTATTATTAATAATTTTTCTTTAAGTAAAGCTTTTAACTCTGCTGCTCGTCTAGTTGCTTGTACCCCTTTCTTTTCTCATTTATCTCCATATCTTGATCTCTTGCACTTGTCTACCTATAAAATATATAACAACATTTAAAATTTGCACATTTACGTATAAATCTCAATCTAAATTATTTCTTAAGTACTTATTAGATATATTAATTGAACCTAAACGCGCCGGTTTACGATCGTCTTCTTGTTCTCACTTCTTCTTAACTCGTGCTAAACACTGCTTTTGCTTTTTCGGGTCCTTTTCTCTGGAACTCTCTATACCTCCTTCTCCATCACTTACAAATAGAACATAACATATATTCTAAATTATATTCTTGTATGTATATATATACTCATAAGTATTCTCAAATTTGTATTTTTTAAATATCAAGAATACATTCCATCTCTTTTTGAAAATTTAAAAATAAACTTTTCGCTCTCAAATCATGACATTTGAAATTAAAGTTTTGTGAAGTTATTATTTAACCACATAAAAATAAAATCAATAAAAATGCAAATAAATTAAAAATTAAAAAATTCATTAAAAATGAGTTCCTGTTACGATGAAACCACTAAAAAATATAAACTAAAAAGAATCGATGTGAAAACTTTGATCACAAATGCCAGAAATGTTGCATCAAAGACTGGTAAAGATTCAATTTAAAATTCATTTATTTATATTGTACTTTTGTTATTTCTTGTCCCTTCTGTGTACAATTAAAAAAAATTGATTCGTTTATTTAATTACTTTCTATCACTTTTATGCTTTTTTATTTGCATGGCATGTTATGTGCAGGCAATGCATCCAGTTAATCAAGTCATATACATTTGTTGTACATGTACATTCATTCATTTATTATTTATTTATTAGTAATCCAATCATTCATTCATTCATTAATTCACTCAACTAATTTAATACAATCAATCATTTCATTAATTTTAATACTATATATTCTTATACTTATTGAGAATTTTAACCAGAAACTAACCAAAGCTAAAAATGCAGTGATGTTTTTTGGTAATTGTATGTACGACAGCCTCAACTCTAATCATATATATATATATTTTCATATTTATATGTTATGAATATATATTATTCACTAATTAATAAAAATCAACCATTGTTACTGAATTTGATGTGTGACATCTATACAGAGTAATACATTATAAGACCATAAATTTATATATTATTCATCTATGTATCTATTTATATAGCTGTTAATAGTCCATGAATTATTTTTCTTATTTCCCTAATTTCAGGTGACACCATTCTAGCACTAACCGGGTACATAAGACCTAGATTACCATACATAGATGATGTAGAAGTCTATAATTTGATACCTACCAATTTTGCTTTTCAAGATGACACTGGAATCATAAAATGTGTATTAAATTTTAAATGTTCTTTTCCAATATTTATAAACGAAAAAGTTGTTCTGTTAAATTGGTCATTTATTAAGTATGGAAAACTAAGAGGTGGACAGTTTGAAATAATGTATTTAGAAATTAATATGATTAAATCAGTCTGTCATAAAATGCCATCATTGCTGAGCGATAATACAACTTATTTAACCATAAATAATGCTCACAAACTCCTAAAAGATTACATAAAAATGATTAAAAGTGAACCTGAAATTAGTGCTACAACGGTAGATATTGAAGTTAATTTATTTGGGGAAGTTGTGGAAATTAGTCAGCTGATGAGGTCCAGGCCAGATCAATATGTGTTCTTTGTGTGGTTGAAAAATGTTACCACCACCACTATTAGTACTAGTGGTAATAATAATAATAATAATGCTGCTGCTAGTCGAACTACAGCTACTAGCAGTAATACTCCTTCTGCTTCTGGTTCTAAGTTTGCATCAGCTAAAATTCGTTCTAAGACAGCTAACAATGATAACAACGGCAACGATGATGATGACAGCACTTCAAAAGATGAATTAGTTTTGATGTGTTGCAGTGTAAACGAACGAACCTGGTGCCACAGCTTGATTCATGCAGACAATTCTTACAGTTTCAGTCGTTTAAAAATTTCCAAAATATCCGTCAAGTCTGAAGATTATTTGGTCTATATTTTCACTCCGAGGACGAGCGTTACTCAATTAGAAATCAACTCGAAATCGGAACAGCCTTTGCTAAAAATGGCTGACAACATCGAAATATTGAATAAATATCGACTTGCTGCAAAAATGACTTCAACGAAAACCAAAAGCGCCGTCTCAACTAACATTAATCCCGTCATCCTAACAGCTGGAGATGGTCCACGAAAGTTATCCCTACCCAAATATAAAACTCCGGACTTGGGAAAAAATTTCACGTTAATCGGAAAAGTGACGAATGATGCGTGGACGAAGTTTGGCATCATCGAAATGGGGAAGAATTTTTTGGTTTATACGCACAACGTCGGCGTTGGTAACTGCGAGTATGTCAGGGATGGCTGTATCGTCGGAGTCGAATGTGTACAAAAATATCTCGTAGACGATAACGATGATGACTGTGATGACGCCGATTACAAAGACATCATTATTATTAGCAACAACAGCAGCATCAATGGTAGCAGCAGCATCAACGAATTTAGAAATTCGGTAAACATGGATGTAGACGACGGCTATAACATTTTAGAAAAACAATTAAAGTCAAGGAAAAGTAGCATTTCAAAAACAAGTGAAAATGCAAGTAAACGTAATGAGTCAGAAAGAAAAACATTCTTCATAGGTACAAGCAGTACCAAAATCACCGTCCTTTTTTATCCACCACCGCCTGCAACGGCAGCACTCTGCGACATGAAATTCGGCCAAGTTGAAGAGCAAACGCAACATCGTCTAATCTCGGAGATCATTGACAAGAGTACGTCCCTAAACGTCCCGCAAGTACAATTAGTGTTAATAGCGACGGCCATTCCGAAGTTGCAATTTTCTCCGAGTATCATTCGGCATGATTGCTACAAGACTTATTTCAATATTTTTGCTAGTAAGTTATTCACTGAATGTTCTGGCCATGTGGTCGATGACGATAATAATGATGATAATAATAGTAATAATAATGCAAGTAATAATAATAATAATTTTTCAAATAAAATATTTTCTTTATCTGCACCAATTAATTACGTTGGTTATAATAGCTGTGGCTCGAAGTTTGCAGATTTTTTCATAAGAAATGAAAAGCATACATCAGATGTCGTAACAACAGGAAGCTTTACTGCCACTACTATAACCAATTCTGCTACTGTTATTGCTACTAACAATAATGTTATTTATCCTTCGCTTTTCACAACAGCAACAACACATGCTAATAATGTTGACAACAATGCTACCAACAACAAAATCGAATGCAAAATCACGTTAGATCTAGAGAAAAGGCAATCATTCACATTCCTGACGATTGAAACTCTCCTGAAATTAGTGACGACCGATAAAGATAAATTTAAATCTCTAGATGGCACTAAGAATTATTGGTCCTGCATTGGCTTATCAAGTTTAGAGCTAGACACGAAGGTCTACGTGGCAGGTCTTCTACAATTCGAGGCAGAGAACGGTAATGTTATATTAAAAGATCAAACTGGTTCAGTCGAATGTGTAGTAACCGAACTAAGCGACGGTGGTAGTCCCGAGTCTCATCACTGTTTCCTATCCGGAAACTGCAAAACGGATTGTTACATGACGGATTCGGTTGTAGATCAGAAGCCCAATTGCCCTTACGTTAACTGCAACCATCGAAACTGTCTGATTAGAGTCGATAGATTTTGTTTGATTGAAGAAAAATTTACAATAGCAGATGTTCGTTCGTCGAATGAACTGATTAGATGTTATTTAGTGTTCAGCGCTAAAGATATCGTATCTCTCGGCCCTTTGGAATTTATAAATTACGGCCTAACTTTATTTCCGTACATTCCCAGTGATAAGGATGTACCTAAATTTGATAATGTTCTCGATCACGTTGTGTCGTCGCATTTAACACCTTATCAGATGCACATAAATGTCAATAGGTTGGAAAATAATCCAGGAGATCATTCGAGGTTCTTGTTCCAGGTGCTTTTCATGAATGATTTCCTTCAAGATTTACTGTTTAAAAATAGATTAGTTGGAAATGCTGAAGCGCCAGCAGTAACAACGGTCGAAAGTGAAACTAGAGATAAATGTACATGCGTTTATGAGTTGATGGCGTTAGTTGAACACAAAGGCGAAATAATGACTGAGGTTGCCGTTGTCGAAATTGGTTCTGCCAAACATCAAAATGTAAATAACAACAACATCAATGTCAACAGAAGCAACAACAACAACAAAAACGACAACAATAATAATAATTTTAACGCCCCTGATTTCGATAGCATGCCTTTTGAATCGACTACCGATTTGCAATTTTCAATTAGTGCCTGGTTCCTGAAAGATGAATTTAAACTGTGTACAAATTGTTGTTCGGATAATGATGGAATTAACAACAAAAACATCAACAACAACATCAACAACAACATCAACAACAACATCAACATCAAAGACATCAACAAAATATTAATAAAATTTTCAAAAAATTCTCTGCAATGGCATGCATCCATCCACCCTGGTTCTGTATACATCATTCAATCTACAGGAGTTCACGCTATGAAAATTAAAAATCAAATGCAGCAAGTAAGCAACATCGATCTAATTTCGAAGTCAAATAGTCGTAAAACAAATGATGTCAAAAAAGGTTTCAAATATACCCTTGAAATCAAGGAACCTTTTTGTACAGACTGGATCAGATGTTACAAAAATTGGCAGTCATATCTGACCAACGTCGAATCTGACGACGATGACAATCGTAATCAGAACCCTGATGATTATATATTACATAAAAAAATTGATCTAATACTAAAAGAATTTATTAACAAGTTGGTGAAATGTGAGAATGTGGAAATCAGTGGTGCTGACGGAATTAGTGATAGGTTCGTCAATCTCGTGGGGGTCGTTACTTCAAAGAAATTCATTCCGCACAAAATTCCTGTTGACAAATTGATTGAATATTTTAAGAATAATAGTAATAATAATAACCAATATAATAATAACCAAAACAGTATTAATAGTGGTAATAATTTTAATGAGGACGCTGAATTAGAAACAATGTCAGAGGCATATAAAGACATTAAATCGAATAAAGTTATGGTTTGCTATGGGAAAGTTCTCAATGAGTATGTTACAGTTACCGCTTCTTCTACTGCTGTTACTACAGCTACTACTGCAGCTGCTACTACAGCAGCTGAAACGTGCAACACTCTCACGTTTCAAGGTCTCAAAACTCATCAAATTAACGGCCATTTTATGAAGAAGACAGGGATTGGAGTGCCAGAGGCGCGAAATATCGTCATCGAATTAAAAATTCACCAGGTTGATAGGCCAGTCCGGATCTTCATTTCTGATACCTACTGCCTGAAATATAAACTAGGCCTTTTAACTAATAGCCGCGTGTTGTTTCGTAATCTGAAAAATTGTTCGGATCCTTTAAAGAAATATTGGTTTTTTGTTTTCACTAGTCTATCGTCTGTATCTCTTCTGGATTTTCCGCGAGAATTTAATTTGAAAATGGATTCGCGCTCTGATGAGGTTGACGTGTGTTACTTGGAGACATTATTTGAGAAATTTGGTTACTTCAACAGCGCACCGTCCAGTACTGACGACCATAAGAATGATAGAAGAAATGAAGACGACGACAATGAGGATGCCCCTTCAATGAAAAATCAGAAAAACTCGATACAAGTGGATAAGAAACGTTCTTTGTTATCAATCAGAAAAGATGTTTTCAAACATCTAGAAAGTTCCTTGGGCCCCAAGTTTGAAGCACATCCTTATGTCGAGCGTTTTTATTTCCGCAGTCTCTTCTACAAAAAAGACAATTCGATGCACAAGAGCTGGAATTTATACGAAGCAACTATTGATAAAGTTAATAAGCTCGAATTAGGTTTTACGTGCGAGAGACACATCGATAGAAATATTTTCCTACCCAATAAATGTCCTTTTTGTGAAGAAACGGCCACGTTTTTTCAGGGTATAATGGCGGCGGAAATTAGTGACGGAACGTGCAAAATTTTCGTTAACTGCCACCCTAATCAGGTTAAAAATATCTTGGGGGTCACAGACCAAGGATGGGCAGAATTGAGTAGATTAGTTGAAAATTGTCAGAACAGAAGGTTGCACGTTGTGGTTCGTAAGGATGAATGTGATTACGACGATGATGGAGATGATGATGAAAAGAATGATTTTGCCGCACATGTTTGTGGTGTGGAGAAAGGTTATGTGCTGCTGTCATGTGTTTTATGTCTTTAATAGATTTTTTTGATGAAGTTGATTGTGATCTCATAACTTTTTGAAATTTTTATTTGTTAATTCATCGAAGTGGTACAATCCATTCACTTTTTTCTCACACTCCCTCAGCCATTCTGAATTTCTCTTTTTTACTTTTCATCTCATACCATTCCATTTATCTATTCATTCATTTTTTTCATGTATTAATCCAGGAAGTTTAATAATTCACCCACTAATTCACCTTCTCACAGATCTCACGATTTTTTTACGACGACTTCTACAATCGCCAATAGTAACAAGAAGATTTATATTCTCGGTACAGAGTTACAGAGCCTTCATTGACCAGAAAGGCAACAAAAACCACAGGGTTCGATACGGTCCATGTCCGATCGATCCTATTTCTACTTTTGCTACTACTACTGCTGCTGCTGCTACTACTGTTGCTACAAACACTGCTGCTACTACTGTTACTAACGATGACGACTGGTTAGTAAACAGCAAAAATGAGTATAAAACCTGTAAGAATAAAAAGTATTCTAAATTCGCTAATAAAGGTTCTGTTAATTCCACTACTGCTGCTGCTGCTACTACTGCTGCAGCTCTATCTACTAATACTAAGAGCAACAACAGCAATCCTACAATAGCAAACATCGATTTGACTGAGTACAGCAACAGACTGTTGTTGTACAACATGCGGCTGTCTTACGATGATTTCAACAACAACAACAGTAACAATCATAATAATAAGCAAATGAGTAAACCAGGCGAAAGATTATACACAGCTTCGACAGAAATAAAAAATTTCAGCAACAACAAAAATACCGATCCTTACAGCAGCAAGAACGACTCCTTCTCCGGCAACCAAATTTCACTAGACTTCAATGATTACATCTCGGATGATCATTGCACAGATGTTCCAAATTCACTGCCAGAAGGCTGCAAAACAAAAAATGATAAATTCGCAACGTCTATTAACCTAAGACCCACAAGGATCCAGCTAGAAATGGGCACTATCGCCGAGAGACAGAGGGACCTAAGAAAGTACTGCTTCGAGATGATAAACCGAATTAAGCGTGTTCCCCCCTACTGGAGTAAAACGGCCTCATCGAAAATTAGCGAATTACGGAATGTGATCATCAACGACGACGACGACGACGATGGTGATGATGATGATTGTTATGATGATGGTGATAACAATAATGTTGATGAAGCTAATTACAATGGTGATGATGATTTCGATGATAATTATGATGATGAAAACGATGTGTGCGCGGTGGAGATTGAGTAAGTAATAACGACTATATATATATATATTATATATATATATTATATATATATATATATGTGTGTGTGTATGTAATTTTCCTTGTTAGAATTTTCTGGAAATTATATACATACATACATATATATATATATATACATACATACATAATGCATACGTACAGGAGAAGGTCGGAAATTTCTCCCTTTTATAAACTACTCATATATATATATATATATATATATATATATATATATATATATATATATGTATATATATGTATGTATGTGTGTGTGTGTGTGTGTGTGCGTGCGTGATTTTTGTCTTGTCATTGTTCTTAAGTACACTTGAAGCTAAGTGTATGAGCGTAAGATAGAACGAAAATATTAATCAAAATAAAAGAATGATTCAGAAAAAAGAAATGAATGATTGAATGAACGAGAGATGAAAAAAGAAATGAATGATTGAATGAATGAACGAATAAACCAGCCAAAAACTTTGTGAAATGTACAAGAAATAAATAAATATATTTTTTTAAATGAAAAAAAACGCCAAATGTTATTTTTATCTGCCAAAAACGCCTTTAAAAACTGAATAACTTTAATAATTAATTAATAAAGTATATATATATATATATATATCCATATATATATATTCATTATTATTACTACAGCAGCTCTAAACAGAACAAATAAAATCCACTCAGAATGAGGATAATAATTTTAAAATAGTAATTCTTAATGATGATAATATGAAGTCATCTGTGAAAAAATCTTATCGAAATAGAATGAACACAAGGTTTTCTCTTCGCAACTCTTCCCCTCTTTCTTTTCTACTTTCTCTCTCTCTCTCTCGCTATTAAACCTCAACATCTCACCTACTCTTAAATTACGAAATCCTGACTTTAGAAATACATACGGACGACAATGAGAATAACAATGATAATTAATGTGATTAAATTACGAGCCAATATGGCTAGATGAAATGATAAATTCGCACACACGCGTACTAAGAAATATTTATACCAACACAACTACTCAAAAACCTGCAGACACACGAACGAACACACTCATAACATATACACATATATATATATAGTACTAATATTCTCCAGAAAAAATTTATTTTATCACTATCATTATTGATTTATTTTTTTCAATTAACAAAATAATATTACTGAGGAAAGGAATGTAATATAATACCCTCTCTCTTTCACAACTCTCTCTCGTATAACTTTTTTTCTATCTTTATCTATCTCTAGAGATCCTTCTCCCTCTAAATTTTTTTCTACCACTCCTCTCTGCCTCTCTTAATAAATCTTTCTCCCAACAAACCCAATGCTCACATTAAGTTACAGCGCCTCGAAAAATAATCAATAAATAATATTAATGAAATAGTGATAATAATAATATATAATAACAATGGAATAATAATATTAATAATAAAAGCTATCAGAAATACGAATCAAATAAAGTAAGATAAATAACGTCAAATTTTTATTACTAAAATAACGTTCTATATATATATAGAGTATATATATATATATATATATATATAGAGTATATATAATATAGAATACATATATATAAATTATGTATTTATGTATATATATATATATATATATATATACATAAATATATTACATGTATAGTGTTATATTTAATTACGCTTGTGAATTGAAAAGCAATCAAATGTACTATATATATATATATATATATATATATATATATATATATATATATATATGTGTGTGTGTGTGTGTGTACAAATACAGTATTGTACGAATTCTACCGAACAATACCGTATAAAATATGGTCTCCTTCCAATATATATATATATATATATATATATATATATATATATATATATATATATATATATATAGATGAACAGAAAAGTAAACAGTAATCAAACCAGAAAAAAAATAAAAATAAAATAGGCAATCTAATTTTTGTATAATCTTTGATCTGATGAAATTAACCAAAATTTTTTCCATTTTCAATAGTATTTTACATTTTACATATAAATCCCTCGTTCTCTCTCTCTCTCTCTCTCTCTCTCTCTATATATATATATATATATATAGATAGAAACTTATGCATGTTTATATGTTTAGAAATATTTATATATATATATATATAAGTATCTCAGCCAATCAAGAGAGGTGGAAAGACATCTGCCCTTCTTTGATAGCCAATAGGATTTTTTCTTTTAAAACCTTAGCGTTAGAATATTCCGGAAGTTTGAGATAGTTCACGCAGGTCATGACAGATGGCAGGTAGTCGTCTGCTTTCTCGTTTTCCTCCACTGATTTGCGGACGATTGTTAGGGGCGGATTTAAGCTCTTGAAGCCTGTATTGTGATTGGTCGAGAAGTTCGAGATTGGTTGATTGATTGAAAGTGGTGGATTTAAATATCAATCATCATCGCCATCTTCTTGATCACGACTAACATCAAAGTCATCACAATCATCATCATCATCTCTACAAACCGCCAACAGGTAATTTGGGTGAACCAGTGGTGAACTGCAAGAACATTCTTTGTTCTTCTTGAGTGAACGAGTGCAAGACCTCAAACAGGTGCCTGTCACGATGATAGTAGTAATTAAAATGGTGATAGTAATGGTGATGATGGTGAATATTATATAAACCACGGTAACATAAAGTTATCAACACCAACAACAGCAATCATTACATCTACAGACGCAAACACACAAGCATCCCAATACTACAATTTTAATAGCACATCCCTACTTTTCCTAATTTACCTAATCTGTTTTGATTCCATGTTGTACCCGTGATCAGCCCGACAGCATTCACTTAGATAGCTCGGGGTCCACGGCTCAAATTGGTTGCCACAAAACAACATCTCCATCTTAAGTGGGTGTTTGTTGAAAATCAATCGATCTATTTACCAATCAATCAATTTATCAATCAATCTATCTATCAATCATTTTATCCATCTATCAATCAATTAATTAATCAGCCGAAAAATTTTATTTTGGAAAAGCCTGAGGCTCTATAGTTTGTATGGCAACTTTAATAACACAATTTTTGCAAAAATTAAAATTTTTAAAAATTGAATATTGATGTCAACAATCAATCGATCGACCAGTCAGCCAGCAAGCCGACTGCTCAATTGATAAAATGATCAATCTATCAACCAACCAACCTCTTCTGGATAAAAAAATTCCAGAGAGTTCATTGGAAAAACGGACTCAAAGCCTTCCCTAAGTGACTCGAGTTGCTTTGCAGGGCCTTCAACCAACAGCCAATGAATGGAGAGCTGTTGAAATTTAGTAACTAATTAATTTAAATAATTCAAATTTAATAAAAAAATTTCAGCCAATTAGAAGAGATCTCTTAAAAACGAGAAAAATATTAACAGATGAATGAAGCAATCTTAAATTTGGTAAGAAAATTCTTATCAAAGTAGAAAAAAGCTTTTAAAAGTGAAGAAAATATTAATAAAATTAAAAATTTTAAAATTAGCAAAAAAAATGTTAGCCAATGATTATAGTTTCCATACACACACCAACCAACCTTGATATATTCAGTTAAATTAACGTGTGACAGCCAGATATCCTTGCCACCCTTCTTCATCTCGATGTCGGGACAGCCGGGCACGCAGAAATTCACGCAGAGGTCATCGAAGGTCACACCGTCAACTTTCAACTCGTCTAGACGAGATTTTCGAACTTCTGATGTCTGTGTAAATTAATGAGTGATTATCATGGATAGAAATTGCAATCAACACTCAGTAAATCAAATCAATCAATTAACCAACCAATTAAAAAATCAACGAATCAACCTACCAACCAATAAATTAATTAATTAATCAATCGATCGATGAGCCGCCCACCCCAACAAACCAGTTTATGTTCAGAGAGAATTCTACACTTCTCCTTATCAACTTCAATCAGCTGATTGATAAACTTGAATACGGTTGGCTGGACATCTTTCAGATCCTCCAAACTCAACTCATGACACGGGAACGGTGACGCCAACAAGGACGCTGGCGGTGCTAAGTGTGCTGAAGATGAATGCGAGGAGGAAGACGACGACGACGATGATGACTGCGGTGGTGCTGCTGCTACTGACGACGGCGACGATGAGGAGGTTAGTAACATCCATTTATATAGCGCTTTACTCAAAGGAAGATCAAGCTGAAAAATTGAATCGAAAATTATAAATAAACTATGCTGTCAGTAAAATTATGATAGCAATTATTAATTGTTGTATTATCATAATCATAATTATACATAATTATAACCATAACCACAATAATAACCATTATTCTCTCTCTCTCTCTCTCTTTCTCTCTCTCTCTCTCTCTCTCTCTCATGTACATACACGCATACATATACAAACACACTCACCATTCTAGAATCCATCAGTGCCTTAGCCATGAGTCTGCCTAAGAACTTGAACTTTGACCTGATCTTGTTGATCTGACCTACTTTGGCCGATTTGGATAGAGGCTGAGGAAATAGGCCAGTCGGACTGAACATGTACTGGTGTTGAGATTGTTGTTGCACTGATGGGGACTGATTGTGACGAGTGGATTTTGACGAGGCTATACCTGGCGAAGATGGGTCACTGTCATTTTGCTGTTGTTTCGAATCTGTGCGTTAATGAAAGTTTCATCGATATTATCCTCATCATCAATTTTATCATCATCATCGTTATCATCATAACACTCATCGTTATTCCTCCCATCATCATCTTTATCATCAAAACTTCACCTTGATTCTGAATGGATGTTGAAACGGCCTCGCCATTCCAGAGTTCAAGGTCTGCCCTTTGTAGCTCTCTACTTACAAGGGCATAAAATTCTAAAGTGGGGCCTAGCCCTGTTCCCACCTGGAGATGGCGATAATGATGATGATGACGACGAGAGTCATGATGATGATGGTTGTCGTTTTTAAATAAATGAATGTTTCTCTCACTGATATTTCCTCATCATGATTTATATCACCACCACCTTCATATATATATATATATCTTTTTCATCATAACCACACCCCCCCACTACAATCCTCCTCATCACAGCCATCACCATCCTAACCTCGTTTTCGTATTGAATTTCCAAGAGAGCCTTAGAGGAACCCATGTCTGTCATCAGCTTTTCTGCTTGCTTCAATATATCATCTCTAGAAACTGTCGTCTGAGATGAGATGTCGTGCGTGATAGCAATGATGTTTATGCTGTGATAATGAAGAGCTGATGATACTATCATGTGATGATGATATAAATTTGTATATATATATATATATATATATATATATATTATATATATTATCAATCAATCTTCGTTTAGCGTCCAGAGACCCACACACATTGCATATATATATATATATATATATATATATATATATATATATATATATATATATATATCTGGATCTTAGGCAAAAATGAAGCAGTGCATAGATATGAAAACGAAATACCGTCATTCAATCTAGGTTTCTCAAATCGAAAGATTTCCACACAATCTAGCAAAAATTTCAACTCAAAAGTATCGACACCGATTTTATTTTAGCTTCAAAGGTAGCACGAATACCAATGTGACGATTTTGAGGTGAAGAACAACTTTAGACAAAATAGACTTCAAACAAAATGATCGTCAGACAAAAGACCAACCACTAAGCAGCAGCAACACAGAACAGAACCAACCTTCCTCCTCTCAAGTCTCGGGGTGACCCTATTGTGCCCCTCGCTAGAGCCCCCACCTCCGCCACCCAAGCCCCCGTCGTTGCTGGCACTGTTCTGTTCTCTCTGAAGTCTGAACATGGCTCGCTCCCGGTCGAAGGTCGTTATGTAAAAGAGGGTTTGTCGAGTCTCGAATGGAAGTAGGAATGGACTGCAAATAAATATATTAAATTAAGACTGTCAGAAATGCAATCATTGATGAAAATCAAATGAAAATCACCCTAACCCTTACGCTGAACATGCTGTGATTTTCATCAATAATTGCACACACACACACACACACACACACACACACACACACACACACATATATATATATTGACAGTCAAATGAAAATCACCCTAACATGCTGTGATTTGTGTAAGCAACAATCACAAACATCATCACAGACAAACAATTAAACATTTAAACAAACGAACGAACGAACACAACAACAAACCAACCAAGACTTAGCAATTTGCATAAGCCAGGCAGGTAAGCTTGCAGTAACTACGGATATCGGGTCTTGCAATTGCCGATTTGCCTTTGATGTCAACTTGCTACTCAAAAATTCTTGACTCTTTAATAGCGGATTGAAATCTGATTTCTGTGGTTGATGGAACAGCCGAATGTGGTTGGTTGGTTGGTCAGCCAGTTGGTCGATTAATTGATTTGTCATACATGTTAATAAAAATTACTACTAAACGATAATTACTACTATCGTTTTTGATAGCAATATCATCACCATCACAACTTACCTCAAAAAACAACCCCCAGAGCTTGTTGACGTTGTGAAGCAGGTCAAGTAAGGGCATAATCTTCAAAGAAGGATCATTGAAGGTCAGGTTTGCAGAGTTCACGGTCAAATTCGAGGTCACGGAGTTCAATATCAAGTTCCCACGATACTGCTTGAGATCTGTAGATGTTGTTACAGCAGTAGTTAGCAGTTAGTTTAATTTATTGAAGTTAATTATAGCGAAACTCATTTATTTATTTATTATAGCCAAGAATAACCTTTGGCAGATTTTCCCGTTGATTTACTTTTAGATTTGTCGGCTTTCGACTTTTTACTGTGCCCGACTACAGTGTCCACATTTGAGGACAGGAGTGAAGCTGATGACGACGATGGGTTCTGTTGAGACACCGGCCTGAAACTGATGGTGGAGATGGGGAATGATTGTACGTTTGTTTGTTCGTATGTTGTTGTTGCATTCATTCATTAACTCACTCCTCATCTGTTATTTAAACAACATCACCATCATAGCTAACTAAATAGTATGTGTACTGGTCCAGATACTGGCCACTCCAAACGGGTTTTCCAGATCGGTATCAGTTTCACTTTCGTTATTGACAACATTAATGTTACTATTATTAACACTTCCGGCTTTTCCCAGCGGCGGTAGAGAACTAAAATGTTTAACAGCTTCGTAGACTGTCATGTCGTAAGGAACGAGTCTGTCGTTAATCAAAAATTCCAAAGAATGTTGTGGCTGTTGCTGACCAGCACTACTGCTGCTAGCACCACCATTGTTGTTGTTGTTGTTGTTGGCGGTGGTGGGGTTCTTGTGGCGATGTGTCATCTGCCACTGACGACGTCTGAAATGACTGAGAACGTTACTACCAGCGCTGCTGCTGCTGTTGTTAGCTGCATTGCTCACACTAGTAGCTGTAGCATTAGTACCGTTGTTGTTGTTGTTGTTCAGATTGCTACCACTGTTGCTAGTGAAACGGCGCGAAGAGGTAGTTGAAGGTAGTGGCACAGACGAGGAAGTTGAAGCAGCCGTCGCTGCAACCGAAGCAGCTGTGGCAGACGATGAAGCAGCTAGAGACGCTGCAGCTGCTTGCAGTGTTTCGTCGATATCGTCGTCGTCATCGTCGTCGTCATCATCATCGTCATCGTCCTCTTCATCATCTTGGCTCTGTTTGGCCGCGGTTAGTGATTCATGGTTTTGTAAATGTATGTTTGTATTCATTCTCAATTGAACTCTTACACTCATCCATTCGTTTACTCATTTATTTCTTCACAAATCTTTCATTCATTCATTCATTCATTCATTCATTCATTCATTCATTCATTCATTCATTCATTCATTCACACATCTTTCTAATTACCATTTCACCACCACCGTCATCATCATCATCATCATCATTCAAATAATTAATTATAATAAATAACAATAATAATAAAGAGTTATAATTATAGCAGTGGGATATTTCCTCCCAACCGACCATTCTAATCCTGGCATAGCCTCTCAGTACCAAATACTTTTCAATGGCCTGAATTAGTGCGAGTGGGTCGATCTTCACTGGACCCCCCCGCCATTGTTTCAGGGATGTGCAGGAAGGGTGACGTTGGAGATTGCACTGCAAGGAAAGTAATTGTTCTTGAGATTAACGTTCAAACAATCTTTTTCACTTGCTTAATCATTCAGTTACTCTTAGTAAATCATTCCCTTATTCACATAAAAAACCAACTAATTATTCAATTAACCAACCATTTAATCAATCAATCAATCAATCAATCAATCAACCAACCTATCAACCAACCAACCTTCAACTGATGCGTATCAAAAAATCTGAGAGCGTTAGTGCCGCCGCGAGATGATAAGTTGGAGCCGGCTGGAAAGTCGTGCACTTTTACCTGGAACTATTAAATAAATAAATAAATAAATAAACAAACAAACAAATCAATCAATCAATGAATCAGTTAACCAACTTGCTCCAAATGATGAAGACAGGCCATCAATCTGTTGATCAGTTTCTGAAAGGCCAACAAGTTCAATGAGTTGTTGTTTACGTTGATGCAGTCAGCATCCTGCTTGAAATTGTTGTAATCAATCAATCAATCAATCAATCAATCAATCAATCAATCAATCAATCAATCAATCAATCAATCAATCAATCAATCAATCAATCAATCAATCAATCCATCAATCAATCAACAACAACAGAAACCTACCCCTTCTAGCGCCAAAAACACCTTCAGAAATTTCTTCATCCTCCCAGTCACCAACTCAACTTTGACATTCAAAGAGTTCTTGCCTTTGCCTTTCCTACAACCACCTTTCTTGCTGCCTTTTCCGGAATTTTTCCCGCCAGATTTTGAATTTTTTCCCCCACCGCCGACATCAACCTCCGGGTTTTTCTCATCGTCAGAAATTGGGTTTTTCCCGGAAAGATAATTATAGAGAGTGTCGATGACGTCACTGTGAATAATTTCGAATGGCGAGGCGTCTTGCGTCGTCATGACGGTCGCCAGTTGTTTCAGGGCCCTCAGCTCGGATCTCTGACGTTTGGCATTAAGGTACCGGAATTAAAAATCCACACCAACATTAAAAAAAAAATACTACAAATAATGACTTTAACTGGAAATGTTGTAAAAATGGAAGAAGCAGCAGTAAAAATAGTAGATGTAGTAGTAGTAGTAGTGGCAGTAGTAGTAGCAGTAGCGAACGATTATATAACGAGCAACTGACCTGACGTTTCAACATCTTATTAGCCTTAACCAACATGTTCAGACAGTGCATAGCTGGGTTCTCATCTACGTTATCATCATCATCGCCACAATCATCGTCGTCGTCATCACATTTGTCACTATCATCATCGTCATCATCATTTTTGTAATAGTTAGATATATTGTTATTGTGATCATCATCATCATCATTATCATCATCATCGTCGTCGCCTCTTTTATCACTGGCTGAAGAAGTTCTCTTCTTATTGGCTGCTATTTTTAGCTTATGTTGCTGCTGCTGTTGTGTAGCTGCTGTTGCTGCAGCTGATGAGGAGGATTGCTGGAAGTATTTCTTGCAAAAGTTCATCGCTGATGGATAAGGGATTGAATGCAAGAAGAATGAATGAATGAATAAGAAAACAAATAAATGGTTAATGAATTGATATACTGAAAAAACAAGATGGAAAAACCCAAACAAACAAACCTTGTTCAGCAACCCAGAGTTTTACTTTCTCTTTGTTATCGCTGGAATTTCCAGAATTACTACCACCACTATTGTTATTATTACTGCTATTATTGAGCTGGGATTTTCCATGATTGCTAATAATAGTAGCGCCATATGGCTGTGGAGGCGGAGCAATCCTTAGGGCATCGTAACTCAGGTGAGGAGCTAGATAAGGATGCTGCTGCTGCTGCAATAGTATTGATGATGGCGATGACGTTGATGGCCTGCCTAACAGGACGTTGTTGTTGTTGTTTAATGTGGAGGTTGCAGCCGATGATGAAGATGATGACGATGCATTGCTTGCTGCAGGCTGGATGATGAGGAAAGGGAAAAATAATAATTAGTATTATTGCCAGTAACAAGCCGAAAATGTATTTAAATGTTGTTTCACGTCTGCATCTGTCTATCTATCTATCTATCTATCTATCTATCTATCTATCTATCTCTCTCTCTCTCTCTCTCTCTCTCTCTCTCTCTCTCTCTCTCTCTCTCTCTCTCTCTATTAACCGACTTAACCTACATACATATCTATTTATTCATCCATCAACTATATCATCTATAAACTATCCAATCAATCGATCCATAACAATCAGCCAACCAATCAAATGAAGCAATTAACTTTTAAACCGACCAATGGCGATGCAGGCCTCTCTGATCTTCCCCCTCTCCCCCACTTCAATCCAGGTAAAAAATTTGAAGTCATTTTTGGTGTATACCATTTCTTTCTACTACCACTACTACTACTGCTGCTATTATTATTGCTACTACTACCACCACCACCACTAACGTTATTATTAGTATTATTCATGTTTATGTCTAGAGAATCTTCTAGAAGGTTCTGCAGCTCAGGAGCCATCAGATGAGCCGTAGAAGACGACTGTTGGAGCTGCTGGAGCAGTTGCTGTTGTTGCAGCAGCTGCTGTTGCTGCTGCTGAAAATAGTCGAATACAAATGGGCCAGCGACAAAATTAGCGTTAACGTTGCTAGTGGCATTATTATCATTAGCCTCATTCCCGGTTCTGTGAGCAAGTCTTGGAGCCACATTATTGTTAGCAACATTCATCACCCTATCATGCTCCTCCATACCCAGATTGCTGTTATTATTATTATTATTATTATTATTATTATTATTATTATTATAAGCGCCTTCTCCGAACGTCGAAGACTGATCTGAAATCCCAACGTTATTATTATTATTATTATTGTTGTTGTTGGATTTTTTAGATGAACCTTTCTTTGATTTCGAATTGCTAGCTGGGGATTTCCTGTTTAGAATAAAAATTATTGAAAGAATTTAATAGCAACGAAGTGAGCATCAACTCTTTCACCATTCCTATCACCATTGCCACCATCTTTTCATCATCACCATCACTATCATCAACGCCATCACCTTTCCATCATCACCAAAACCACCACTTACATTTTTTGTAATCCAGAATTCTTATTATTTGCATCAACGCTCAATGATAATGGAGGCTGGTGGAGTTGCTGCATGGACATAGACCCAGCAGACAAACCTGGCTGCTGAATTTGCTGCAGCTGTTGTGCTGCTGGCTGGTACATTCCGTAGGCAGCCGGAACCATCCCGTAACTTTGAACATCAACCGGGTCCTGAATGTGGCCAGCTGTCGAGAGGTTGGAGAGCAAGCATGGCGGATGTGCGAACTCCATCGGTGGATCGGGAAAGACAGGGAAGGGAGCGTAACTAGGTAGTGGGAAATGATGAGGAGGAGAGGAGAGAGGATGTTGTGGCTGCTGCTGTTGCTGCTGTGGTGAGAACAGCGGAGGAGGAGACGCTGGGAAGTTGTAAGCGCTTGCATTGATGAAAGACTGCGATGGCGAGGAGGTTGGCGGGGATGATAGCGTGGGCAGGGGAATCTGAGATAAAGCCGGTGGGACCATGAAAGTTAAGAATGCCATGTTGTTGTTGTTGCTGCTGTTGTTTTGTTGCTGCTGTTGCAGTAACTGCAGTTGCTGACGTTGATGTTGCTGTCTAGTTAGGTGAGGTTTCGAACTAACAGTATTATTATTATTATTTTGCAGTTGTTGTTGCTGCTGCTGCTGACATGAAAGAGATAGGTCAATAACTTCTGAACTGATTGAAGAACTCAATGCCATAGAAACAGTGGATGTCGCCGCATTTGACAAGATCGAAAACGATGTTGTCGCAGTGACTATGGTAGTATTGCTACTACCACTACAGCCACTACTACCACTACTAACATTACTTGTGATGGATGCAGCAAAAGCAGTGGCATGCTGCTTAGTGACTTTGGATGACGACGATGAAGGAACCTCGCACAGCTTCGTTATCTGATGCATGACCCCTTGTTAATGTTAAAGTTATTTTTTGGAGTTGGAGAGTATTAGACTAGACAATCATGACGACAAAAATATTATCATATAAAACAAAAAGCAACAATCTTAGCAAATAACACGACCCTCAGCCAGCCCGCCACACACACATCATAATTCATACTGACAGAACTTGCAAAACAACATTATGCACCTATACACAGCAGGAAAACTACCTAGCTTACTCACCTTCCCTGCAGAACTGAACGCTAAAGACTTCTGGCAACTTCTCCATTAGGATATGGGCCATTTGCACAGAGCAGACGACAACTTTCAAATCATTGGAGGCCATCATAGAGGCTATATGGCTGTTAGATTTTCATTATTATTATTATTATTATTTATTATTATTATTAATTATTCTGTTTTATGATGATGTTTCTGACGAGATTGGGCAAGCGGGGTTGAATGAGTTTGTGGTGTTGTTGGGTGATTTGAATGGTCATGTGGGGGCGGATGCAGACGGATATGAAGGTGTGCATGGGGGATGGGGATATGGTATACGGAATGAGGAAGGGCGTAGAGTGTTGGAGTTAGCGGATGCACACAGCATGGTGGTGGGGAACACTTGGTTCACAAGGGAACCAGCGCGATTGATTACTTATAGGTCAGGGGAAAATAGATCGATGATCGACTATATATTGGTAAGGGCCAAACATAGGAAGTATGTGAAGAATGTGAAGGCGATACCTGGTATGTTGCAGCATAGTATGGTTGTGATGGATGTGACATCAAAAGAAATGGGGAGGAGGAAGAAGGATAAGTTTGTGGCAAAGAGAAAGACATGGAAGTTGCAGGATGCAGAGGTGAGAGTGGTAAGGATGGAGATGTTTGGGAGAGATACAGGGACTGTGTGTTGGCTACGGCAGATAAAGTATGTGGATGGACGAAAGGAAAGTGTAGGCATGGTGAGACGTGGTGGTGGGATGAAGATATAAGAAGGGTTTTGGAAGTCAAGAAGGAGAGGTTTAGGGTATGGAGAAGGGACATGACGGAGGAAGCGGAGTCTGAGTATAGGAAGGCTAAGAAGGTTGTAAAACAGGCAGTGGCAACTGCAATGACGAAAGCATCAGATAGGTTAATGAAGGAAATGGAATCTGATGTGAGTTCGAGGAAAATGTTCAAAGTAGCAAAGCAGTCAATGAGGGATAGGAAAGATGTTATAGGGAATGGATGTGTTTGGGATGGATCTGGCAAGTTGTGCATAGATGAGGAGGAAAAAGCTCAGGTGTGGAAAGCTCATATGGAAAGGTTGATGAATGAAGAGAATGAGTGGGATGGAGATGTGGAATCCGTGGTCACACACGGACCTATAGAGAAGGTGACGATGGAGGAAGTAGAGAAAGCAGTTAGAGAAATGAAACTAGGTAAGGCGACAGGGGTTTCGGAAGTGGCGGCTGAACATATTAAAGCGAGTGGGGTGATAGGAATTGAAGTTATGATGAGAATTGCTAACAGTATGTTTGATGATGAAGGTATACCTGAGGATTGGCGACACAGTGTGTTGGTGCCGTTGTATAAGGGTTTTTACAGGGGTGTGAAATTACTAGAGCACGGAATGAAGGTAGTGGAGAGGGTGCTTGAGAGGAGGTTGAGAAGTATGGTGACAGTTAATGAAATGCAGTGTGGGTTTATGCCTGGTAGGGGAACGGTGGATGCGTTGTTCATGGCGAGAATGTTGCAGGAGAATTATAGAAAGAAGAAACGAAGATTGTACATGTGTTTTGTGGATCTAGAAAAGGCTTTTGATCGAGTACCGAGGAAGGTCATTGAATGGGCGTTGAGGAAGAAAGGAGTGAATGAGAGACTTGTTAAAGCTGTGATGCAGCTGTATGAAGGGGCAAAGACAAAGGTGAGGGTTGGAAGGGGGATGTCGGACGCTTTTAGTGTTAAGGTAGGAGTGCATCAAGGATCAGTGTTATCACCGTTTCTGTTTGCAATTGTGATGGATGTTGTGTGTGGAAACATAATGGAGGGGTTGTTATTTGAGATTTTGTATGCAGATGATTTAGTCTTGATGGCTGATAGCATGGAAGAATTGCAGTTAAAATTTGACAGATGGAAAAGTGTTATTGAAAAGAAAGGGTTAAAAGTTAATATTGGTAAGACGAAGGTAATGGTGAGTGGGGAAGGTGGGGAACGAGTGATAAGTAAAATATACCCCTG